CTACTACATTCACGTGGACTATGTAGTTACGGTTACCCGTCTCCAGGTTATGGTATGTACAGTCCTCATCATTGCGGACCGGTGGGGCGTGTCAGCCAGTATGAGTGTGCACACTGTTGAAGCCGTTCTCAGCCTTTTTGTTGAAACGCGTATGCGACAAAAAGTGGTAGAAAACGAGTAATACGAAGGATATAATACAGTAATGTCACTTGCCCGCTTCAACAACTGGTGCAGAACGACTTTGGCCCGCACTGAACCGCCCCGACAGTACGTAATGGTGAGGACTGTACATATTCGTCTTCTTCAGGCTCTCAAAGCCCTTCCATTCCAAGCAGGCGAGAGTTTTCCCAACGCCCTTCGATTCCATGTGTGACACCAATCCTGTAGCAGTACGAAGTTTCCAAGATGGTACAGGCGACAACATGAAGGCAAGATACTCTTTCTCAGTAGCTTGAAACTTCACACGGAGCACATGCTTCGTGTATATCGTCAGTCCCGAGGGTGACGTGATTACATGAACGGAGTCCCGGCGAGAAAAGCACATTCGCAGGAATTGGAGGATTTTGGCGAGAAAGCATCGAAAAGGGCAAATAACATGTAGCGATGCACTACGTGAGAGACTACGAGGTGGATGAGGCAATTCATAACGTGGAAAAATTGGGATCGCAGTGAAAAACTGGAAAACGCGAACTCGAAAAACTCCGAATAATGGTGAGAATGTGGGAAATTATTACGAAGGTAGGTACGATGGGGGATGGAATGCGAGGGGAGAATTTGTACCAAAGGAAATTTTCGAGGAGTCGTGTTTTGCAAACAAATCACTCAACCTTAGGAGGTCCTGGTTCTCTATCTGCGGCGAAATAGACGTTGCAAGCGGGTCATCGTAAGCGTAAGCACCTGATTGACTCAACGACATATTCCAAGCGTTGCGCGACTTTGTCCATTGGTTCGTTCTCTGGAAGACATCCTTATGCAGGTGGACGCTCCGACAAGGAAAGTTTACGACCTTGTCTAATAAAAACAATGCTCCTAGGGGCGGTATATGCTAATCAAGTTAGTCTTGGGGATCAGACCTACATCTTCCGCTTGATCGTGAAGAATGGAAGATTCGAATCAGCGACCAATGACACCTGATCAGGTTCCTCGTTTTATCGTCTTTTTTGTGTAGAAGTCTATGCATTAGTATCACCCACCACATATGTCACCCACCATGTATAATTTCGCTTCGTTTGTTTGCTTGTTTGTTTATTGTCTGTCCGGAAATTCGGTTCGACCTGAAGAACAACTTGGGGAGGTCGGGTCAAGGTGGGGATGGGTAGGGCATGGGGCAAGATGCAAATAGTACCCGTAACCCATGGCGAGCCCCGCCCAGAAAGAGCGAGGCATGCGTCGAAAGTTGCAGAAAAAAAACTCATAACTCGCTTTTAGAGCAGCCTAGAGATGGGAAGAAAGTGGAGTAAGGTTGGCAAGGGATTGTCAAGCTGCTTAGGGG